GAGAGGAGGCGGAGGGCAGCGACGGAGAATGAAAGTACAGGCGCGAGTGGAAAGGAGAATGAACGGGCGAGAGTGCGAGGATGGATAGGTGCGGATAATGCGAATACATCGCGCGGAGTGACGCCCTTATCGTGACAAAAGCACCGTCATTGCGTCGGTTGCAGGTGTGGTTCAGTAATCGCAGGGCGAAGTGGCGTCGAGAGGAGAAATTACGGAACCAAAGGAGAGCAGCCGTCGATCAGGTAGTCGGCGGCGGCAGCAGCGGGGGTAGCGGCAGCACGGCACCCCCAGCAGCAACCCCTGCCACACCACGGTTACCCTTAAACGCCGGATTCAACGCCATGTACTCGTCGATACCGCAGCCGATCGCTACGATGCCCGACACTTACAGGTAACCACATTTTTGCTATATGTTCCTTTGGACCTGGGGATTGAATGGCCTCGTCGTTGCGACGGTAGAATGATGAAGCGACATAAGGGGATTTATTTGAACTGTTAAACATATCGACTGGAAACATTGTGGGTTTATCACTAGTGTTTATTGTTGGGTATTTTAAGGGTTGTTCTGGAAAGGGAGGAAGGAATTATGTTGAGTCGTTTATAAATGTGAATGATATGGTTAACAATGGTATGGTGTTTCGGGAAAATCGTGTCGGAGATTCCTTGAAGATCTTCTCTAGAAATAGGAAACACTGTATTCGAGTAATTATGATCTTGCTCGAGCACGCACGATAGTAGCTTGGAGCTTGTTATCTAGAGTTATAGTTAAGTCTCGTACTATACGAGGCTATATAGTAACGGATAAATAATATATTTCCATGGTTGTTAATCGTTACTATAAGTCACAACTTAAGGTCTAAAAACACTTTTCAAGGTACACGCAATTTATTAACCTTTAACGCATAAATCAGACTTTGTTAAAACTGAAACATTCATTCAATCTAACATTCACGACCAAAGCCTTATGACCGTAGTACCTTCAATTAACGAAACTCAGAAAGATCTGGGAAAAGGTTTCAATAGAGAAACTCCGACACGAGCCAAAAGAAATCCCCGTCTTTACAGCAGCAAAGATAATTACTGTCAAAGAACCTCGGAAGGGTTGGACCGCTGTAAAAGTCGGCTATTGGGCTCTTAATGGTGGACAAGCTGGCGTAGGGCGAAAGATCCTTCCGGAATCTCGTGAAATCAACAGAGATTGGCCCTCTCCGGTTACCATTTCCTGACGCGGGATCCGTTTTCTCCTCGCAGCTCGATGTCAAGCAGCTTGGGCGGGTCAATGGGTGGAAGCTGTCTTCAGCAACGCGCCGAGGGATATCCAGCGTACGTGTTCCACGAGCCCCTTCACTCGTTGACGCAGTCTTACTCCCACGCACACAGCACTGCTGCGCACTCGCAACCCCATCGCGGCATCCCGACCTCTCATGGTGGAACCCCCACCACGCCGGGCGGACAGCCTACAGGACCAGGTGGTGCGCCCTACCAGCCGACGACCTCGACCGCGACTGGTGAGTTTCCGTTTAAGGATCGTTTTGTTTGTTCTTGCTGAATCTTCAAAGCCGTCTATCGGTACCCACTTCGCTGCACCGCTGCAGCACCCGCTAATCAAGGTCGCGGGCTGCGACCTGCCTCGCAGGCGGTTGTAGACGCCGTTCAGGCTTTCTCACGCTAGAGGACAGTTGCAACGAAAGTGGGGACCCGTAGTTTGATGAGCCTTAGAACTTGTTCTTAGAGGACAGCACGTTAATGTCGTCATTGTTTCGTTTGCAGTGATAGTTTCTAGTGATCGTTCGAATAAACACCATGGAAATCTGTGTCGGCGGTTGACAGATTTTTTAGTGATATCAAAGAAGAATTCCTGTGATAGCTTTCGACCGTATCGATTACCAAGTGACGATATTTTCGGTGATCAGTTGATTAATCCTTTTGGTGGATGGCGATTAATATGAAACCGCTTAATTCACATGTGTTCGTTAGACATTTTTGTTGATTATTTTGTCTTTTGCGATGTTGATCACTCTCGGACAACTCAATCTTGCACCGCACCTCTTTCGGCTTTTCTTAAAACGCTTAAAGTCAGTAGAAACTGCGAGCAATGGTCAGACGCGTTAGCCGATTTACCCAATGCCAGATTCAATGATGAAGCTCACAATTTTTTTCGCAGAAATTTGGTTTAATATAATGCTGCATTTCAGATTATTATCTTTTGGTGTATAGCGTTCATTATCAAGTATTCTGCACCTTTACGTCTCAGTTACAAATTTAGTCGAACGTCGCTATTATTTCACTGCAATTGCACGACACTTTACTTTTATCAAACAGCGCAAAGCATGGGAAGAGTATTATCCATGTAATCCGAGGTTATTTTAAAGAAATCGTGCCAATTGGAACCGATTTGCGCGGACGAAAGCTGTTTCTTGGCTCGTTAACCGCATCTTTATGGTCGCCGTCGCGACCATAAGCTTATAGTATCATCGTTACAGAAACGCGTCCAATTTTCCTTTATCATAATAATCTGCACTCGGTGTAAACGAAGCGTATCTGAATGTATTTATCTTCCTTCGCCGATCATTTCGAACGCAATGCTTTTCGTGTAAACTTTTAACTCTTGAACAAAAGAAGTAGATGCGGAATGATAAGCTCACGCTTCAGCTGTACCGTTTACTTTCGTCTTTAAAGGGGTTCTTTCGTTCCTGAAGACCCTCCGTTTAAATAAAAAACACGGAGAGCAAAAAGTGCCACGATTCGTATCGCGCGTTCACGCTGTCCGACGCGTGTCGTCTGTGACGCTCTTTTCACTCAAACGTGTTCATTCTATACTATTGAAACTCTTAACTGATTACACACACTCAAGGATACAGAGCGCGCAACTGTGGACGGACCGTGAAAAAGGAAAACAACGCTTGTCATCGCGAGAACTGTATAGTTACCGTGGCAAACGACACGAGCGGAACTACGTATAATGGGCGTAAGAAAGTTTCTGCCGGTGGAAACGGTGGGAATATCTGATCAACGCAGAATATCACAAATAAATTTGCTGGAGCTTTATAATGCTGTTCTTCTCCACCTCGTGACTCGCAGAATATACAGACGTTGCAAACTAATTCGTTTTCATTGGTTTTGCAGTGATTGTAGAATAGCAGTAATATGACATTAGTTTGGGTGTCGTTTGAAATGATTTAGGAAAATTGTTTTCAATTCATTATCATTATTTCATGTATAAATCTAAGTCTTTATTTTCGTTATCAATTCCTTATGACAGATGATACGGTTGGAAAGAATTATCACCTTACACCTTACCATATCCTACTACCATTTTCAAGAGTGATTCTATTATTCCAGGACGCGTATATTGATAAAAGAAAATTTGCTCAGAACTTCACAAGAAATCCAAGAACTTCAACAAAAGGGAACAAAACTTTTTATCACGCTACCAATATATATTCCAAGTCTCCCCGACTGCACGTGTCTTTTCGTTCAATACTTCACACAGCGATGCATTGCAAGTTCAACGTTAAACTTAAGAATTTTCCTACCTCAAATCAAGTGCACATCATCTCTCGAGTACGAAACCTTCCTACTTTCGATCCGTTACACGTAACCGCATTAAAGAATAACAAATCAGTATCCAAAACGATATAAGAAACGATCAAACCCGACTACAAAGTCGTATTCCTCAGCCCAGCCGTCAACTAATAAACGAACTATAACATTCGTGGAACCCGCGAAAAGTTAGGTACGAGGGATGGGCGAGATTGGCGTACAGCACGTGGCTGGTTCGTCCGTGGAATTGTCAAAGGATTTTAAAACAAATCTCGCGTGGCGCCGGGAGGGCTGAATCGAAGAATGGTATGTTCGGTGGTTTTCCATCCCCTCCGACCGCGCGGACGTAGCCGCCGGTGGATTTTCCATTTTCCCGATTCGCACTTTCTCCATCTACTCGTTCCCGCTTCTTTCCACCTTCCTTTCTTCCCCGACCTTCCGTTCGGACCCCTCTCGTTTAACGAAAACTGTGGAAGGGTCGACCCATCGGGTACCTTATCCTCCATCTACGGCCCTCCTCTTCTTCCTCCTCCTGCACCCCTTTCCCCGAACTGTCTCCGTTCGTCCCGTAGTCAGGGTTGTTCTCACCGTCTCTGTCCCGCTGTCTCTTCCTCCCTTTAAGGTATACAGGGAGCGAACAGAGGATGTGGATGGGTTGGGTCTCGCCTCGGCTGGGCGAGCGCTCAATAACGTGCGAACCCAAAGGGGAGGAAACACGGGGGTGCGCGGCGTACCTACAGGAATGGAGTGGAACGCCGTAGAATGGTGGAATACTGCGGAACACGCGCCGCATTCCTTTTGTCTTTCCTCCCCGTCCGCTCTGGCTCGTTTACTCTCTTCCTTTCGCTGCTTCTCTCTCTCTCTCTCTCCCTCTCTTCTCTATCTCTC